CGTAAAAATATGGCATATCAAGCTTGTGGACCCTATAGAGGTCACAATTTCTATCCGATTTTGTTGAAACTTGAAATGTAAGTTTATAACCCAAAGATCTCAGTTCCTTATGATCTTCGCGCATATCGGACCGTAACTTCCTGAATTATGGCCCCTGATTGTACGAAAAATCGTGTTTTTAGCTTGTGGACCCTATAGAGGTCATAATTTTTATCTGATATAAAAAAACGTATTATTGTATCACCGTCACACCCTAGGGTCGACTGAGTTCGAATTTTGTGAAAATCTGCCCAAAATTGACAGACAAAATGGCTGCCGTTCGTTCTCAAATAGAGTAAAAATATGGTATCAAGGTTGTGGACCCTATAGAGGTCACAATTTTTATCCGATTTTGTTGAAACTTGAAATGTAAGTTTATAACCCAAAGATCTCGGTTCCTTTCGATATTCGCGCATATCGGACTGTAACTTCCTGAATTATGGCCCCTGATTGTTCTAAAAATCGCGTTTTTAGCTTGTGTACCCTGTAGAAGTCATAATTTTTATCCTATTTAAAAACCCGTATTATTATATCACCGTTACACCCTAAGGGCGTCTGAGTTCAAATTTCGTTGAAAATCGGCCCAAAATTGACAGACAAAATGGCCGCCGTTCGTTCTCAAATAGCGTAAAAATATGGTATATCAAGGTTGTGGACCCTATAGGGGTCACAATTTTTATCCGATTTTGTTGAAACTTGAAATGTAAGTTTATAACCCAAAGATCTTGGTTCCTTTCAATATTCGCGCATATCGGACCTTAACTTTCTGAATTATGGTCCCTGATTGTAGGAAAAATCACGTTTTTAGCTTGTGGACCCTATATAGGTCATAATTTTTATCAGATTTAAAAAAACCTATTATTATGTCACCGTTACACCCTAAGGACGAAGGAGTTCGAATTTCGTGTAAATTGGCCCAAAATTGACAAACAAAATGGCCGCCGTTCGTTCTCAAATAGCATAAAAATATGGTATATCAAGGTTGTGGACCCTATAGAGGTCACAATTTTGATCCGATTTTGATGAAACCTGAAATACATATTGATAACCCAAAGATCTTGGTTCCTTTCGATATTCGCACATATTGGATCATAACTTTGTGAATTATGGCCCTTGACTGTACGAAAAAATCACTTCTTTTTTTGAGCTTGTTCTCTGTCCATCTCTTGCAAAATGTGGGCGTATCTTGCATGGCAACCGCTAGTTGGGGTTTGTTTTCATTTTGGTTGCTATAACAACCAAATATTAAGTAATAACAAGAGTAAAGAAGATAAGTAATTTTAAGAATTCACAAACATATTTACTTGTAAACAAAATTTCTCTTCAAGATCTTAATTCCTTCATATTTTATTTATGTCTTAATAATGGCCAAAATAGACAATTAGCTACTGCAGAATGTTCTTCAAAAGTGAACTCCTTTCCAGCTCTTGGGAGAAGACATATAAATATTTTGGTTTTATTTATTCTTTAAAATCTTGCCCAATAGCTTCTGTTTTTAAAATAACACAATTATTAATATTGATGTCATGATTATTGGAAAATAATGCTTTTTGGAAAAAAAATAACTGTGGTTGCTAGGTAACAACTCAAACTCCTTCATATTTTTCTCAAATTTACACAATCCATATAATTAGATATTGCATAGGGTTTCAAATGTTTTAAATTGCTTACTTTAAAATGTGGAGATCACCTTTTGGGTTATGGTAAATAGCGTTGAAAATGGTTGAAAATTGCATTTTTTTTCATTTTGGTTGCTATGACAACCAAAATTGATAATATATGGCGGATTAGAAGTATGTAATTTTAAAAATTCACAAACTTTTTGACATGTTCACATAATTTGACTTATGTATCTCCATTCCTTCTTATTTTATTAATGTCCCAAAAATAGGCAATTTGCTCCTGCGGAAAATTGTTAAAAAAAATGAACATATATCCTGCTCGAGAGAAGGCATATGAATATTTTTTCTCTTTTTTTCCCTGTTAATCTTGCATGACAGCTACCGGTACAGATTTTAAAATGCATAACAACCAGGTTCAATATTTCAGATATAACATGGACCAGACAATTTTTATACGCCCATATTTTCATGTGGACGTATTATACCATCGCCCCTGTCCGTCCGGCCAGCCGTCCACAATTGTTTGTGGACTCTCTACAGGTCACAATTCTTATCCGATTTTGACGAAATTTGAAATATAGGTTTATCCCCAAAAGATCTCGGCTGCTTTCGATATTGGCATGTATCGGATCGAAACTTCATGGATTATGGCCCCTGATTGTACGAAAAATCACGTTTTTAGCTTGTGGACCCTATAGAGGTCACAATTTTTATCTGATCTTGTTGAAACTTTAAATGTAAATTTATTACCCAAAGATCTCGGTTCCTTTCGATATTCGCGCATATCGGACCGTAATTTCCTGAATTATGGCCCCTGATTGTACGAAAAATCGCGTTTTTAGCTTGTGGACCCTATAGAAGTCATATATTTATCCGATTTAAAAAAGCGTATTATTATATCACCGTTACACCCTAAGGACGGTTGAGTTCAAATTTCGCGAAAATCGGCCCAAAAGTGACAGACAAAATGGCCGCCCTTCGTTCTCAAATAGCATAAAAATATGGTATATCAAGGTTGTGGACCCTATAGAGGTCACAATTTTTATCCAATTTTGATGAAACTTGAAATGTAAGTTTATAACCCAAAGATCTCGGTTCATTTCGATATTCGCGCATATCGAATTGTAACTTCCTGAATTATGGCCCCTGATTGTACGAAAAATCGTGTTATAGAGGTCATAATTTTTATCCACTTTTAAAAAAACGTATTATTATATCACCGTTACACCCTAAGGCTGGCTGAGTTCGAATTATGTGAAAATCTGCCCAAAATTGACAGACAAAATGGCCGCCATTCGTTCTCAAATAGCGTAAAAATATGGTATATCAAGGTTGTGGGACCTTATAGAGGTTATAATTTTTATCCGATTTTGTTGAAACCTGAAATGTAAGTTTAAAACCCAAAGATCTCGGTTCCTTTCGATATTTGCGCATATCGGACCGTAACTTCCTGAAATATGGCCCCTGATTGTACGAAAAATCGCGTTTTTAGCTTGTGGACCCTATAGAGGTCATAATTTTTATCCGATTTAAATAACTGTATTATTATATCACTGTTAAACACTAAGGACGACTGAATTTGAATTTCGTGAAAATCAACCCAAAATTGACAGACAAAATGGCCGCCGTTCGTTCTCAAATAGCGTAAAAATATGGCATATCAAGGTTGTGGACCCTATAGAGGTCACAATTTTTATCCGATTTTGTTGAAACTTGAAATGTAAGTTAATAACACGAAGATCTCAGTTCCTTTCGATATTCGCGCATATTGAATTTCAATTTCCTGAATTATGGCCCTTGATAGTAGGAAAAATCACTTTCTTGTTAGCTTGTTCTCTTTCCATTTCTCGAAAATGTAGGCGTAGCCTTCCTGGCAGCCGCTGATTGTTGAAAAAATTGACCAAAATCACTTTGACAAAATAGAATTTTTGAGAAAACCTATGTATTTTGGAGTTGCTTGGGAAATCAAAGTAATTGTTACAAAAATGTAAAAATCGAAACATAATTAGCCTTAAAGTTGTATTTCGTGAATTTACATCTACATTTTTGATAGGTTTGCTATGAAATGAAATATGACATTTGCAAAAAACACCAAAAATGACTTTTTCAAGGTGTTAAAAAACCTTTCTTCCGCTAAAAGTCAAAAATCGCAACTTTGAGCCTCCATATAAAAAGAAATTTTCATCCGATTTTGAATCTGTAAAAAGTTTTGGGAGAAGAATGATGAGATCTACTTGATAAACTAATAAAATCAAATGTATAATCATAATCTCAAAATCACTTTTCCACCTAATAATATGAGGGCCCTTTGTATGATGCAAAGTTCACGCAGAGGTACATGTTCATTTGGTCTAGTATAATGGTGAGAGCCCTTTGTATAAACTTGTATTTTTCTCAACAAATGAAAAAATGTACTTCATTTAAATCAAATTTTATGATCTTATGTCCCTTTTAGTGATGTTCCGATTATCGGTTTCACCATTGGTAATTGGCCGATAAGTGGCCTATCAGTAGAAATCAGTATCAGAAGATACACAGCCATTTTGCCGATATTTGAGGCACCGGTAACTCATAAACTCGATCATACAGTTAGTGCTTAAAATTAACCATGGCATACGATCGGTAATTGTATGCTGGATGGTTGGAATTTGGTCAATAATTCAGTGATACAAGATTTAATTTTAGTATTAATGTAGCAAAATCGCTAATATTTGGGACCTATGAAGCTATGTGCTATGAGTCACGTACGCCATACGCTGAAGGAATGTTACTGACATAAATTTGATTACCGTACGGGAATTAAATATGAAAAATAGAGAGGTTCACCTATTGTTATTACGTACGACATTTGAATATTTTGTTGACACATGTTTTTTAATGGTGGTATGAATCCGTCTGCTTATATATCGTTATGCCCCTTTATTTTCGGTAAAATGTCCGACAAGGAAAATTTTGAAATCCCATCACTGGTCGCAACGCATGTAATATGTAATATGAATGTATATAAACTTTTTTAGGTTTAATCATTTCCGTTTTTACTCTGATTTCAAGTCAGTTATGTTCGTGTTTAATTCCCAAGATAGAATTGTCTACATCAATTGTCATGTCATGCGAGGCACTTTAATGGGTAATATTTTTTAATGAGTCAATATCGATAATTGTATCTGTATCAGCCGATATGTTTTATTTTCAACATCTGATATCGGTAAAACTAATAGTAACCATGTCGGCAAATCACTAGTCCCTTTAATATAAAATTTTACTTTTATAGTTCAGACAGATTAAATATAAATATACAAAGTATTTTCTCAATAAAAATTATATTTGATGAAATTGCAGTCAAGCAGACGCAGAGAGATTGAAAGAAGAGGAACATATATATAGAACAGCTAATGATAAAGCTGTAGAGGAAATGAGAAAAAAATTGAATAGAGAATTGGAGAATGCTAAATTGGAATTATTAGAGGTTGGTCTATAAATTAGGTTGATCCACAGAGGCTTACACTGTAATCTGGGTATTATTTAATCTTGTGTATTTAGTACTAATTTCTTTCACATTCATTCAATATCAAATCTTTGTTTAAAAACAAACAAATGTGAAAGAAATTAGTGCTAAATACACAAGACTAAATGATACCCGGGTTACATTGACTTGTTCGCTCAATAAATGTGCTCAATTGGAGAGCTAAATGACGCTAAACAAATTTTCTTTGCAGTTAACTTCTTTTGCTAAAACATGATTGCATCCATCAGGTGTCAAGTGACTTCACATTACCAGTGATATACCTCCTTATAAAATAAGTCTTGCACTTTCCATTGTCAATATTTTTATTCTCTATAATTTATTTTTAAAGTTGACCTTTGTGCAATATACATACTCTGACTTTTTGATAAGAAAGTTATTTCGAAGATTGAGAATAAGTTCACATAAACCCCCACCACATTGATCAGCAGTAAATGTTCTCTCGGCCTCTACTATCCCTGAGAGGGATGACATTGGGACGAGTTAATTAGCTCTCAATATTAACTTTTTATATACGCCCACATTTTCATATGAATATATTGTTGTCGCCCCTGTCCGGACTTCCATCACTCTGTTCACATTCTGTTTGTCATGATTTTCACAAAACTTGAAATATAGGTTTATATACCGTAACTACATGGATTATGGCTCCTGTTTGTACTAAAAATCATGTTTTTAGCTTGAGGTCACAATTTTTATGACACTTAAAACATATGTTTCTAACCCAAAGATCTAGGTTCCTTTCAATATCGGACTGTAACTTCCTGGATTATAGCCCGTGATTGTACGAAAAATCATGTTTTTAGCTTGTGGGCCCTCTAATGGTCACAATTTTTATTGTTCCCCACCTTTTGAAGAAAGCAGGGGAATATTAAAATGGATTTGTCCGTCCGTCTGTCTGTCCGTCACACCTTTTGGAACACAATAACTCTCATTCTAATTGATATAGAATGTTCAAACTTGGTGTAGGTGTTTATTAGGTCAATGCCTTGATGGAGTTTGAAGATGAGCCTTTTCTGCTTAGGGTAAGCAGAGATAAGCAATTTAATTGGTTGATGGTTTGGGACATGATAATTTTAGTTCTAACTGAGAGTGATGAAACTTGGTGTATAGTTTCATTACATCAATACCTTGACTAAGTTCAGTAATGAAGATTTTCTGCTCAGGGTAAGCAGAGCGATAAGCAATTTGATTGGTCGAGACTTTGGAACACAATAACTCTCTTTCTAATTGAGGTAGAATGTTCAAACTTGGTGTAGGCGTTCATTAGGTGAATGCCTTGATGGAGTTCGATGATAAACATTGTCTGCTTAGGGTAAGCAGAGATAAGCAGTCTGATTGGTTGATGCTTTGGGGCACGATAACTTTGGTTTTAATTAAGTGAGAGTGATGAAACTACGACTATAGATTCATTATATCATTACCTTGATTAAGTTCAATGATGAGAATTTTCTGCTAATTGAGGTAGAATGTTCAAATTTGGTGTAAGCGTTCATTAGGTGAATGCCTTGATAGAGTTCGATGATAAACATTGTCTGCTTACGGTAAGCAGAGATAAGCAATCTGATTGGTTGATGCTTTTGGGGCACAATAACTTTGGTTTTAATTAAGTAAGAATGATGAAACTTTGAGTATTGATTCATTATATCATTTACCTTGACTAAGTTCGATGATGAGAATTTTCTGCTTAGGCTAAGGAGAGATAAGCAATTTGATTCGTCAAGACTTTCAAACATATCAATTTAATTGAGTTAGAATGTTTAAACTTAATGTAGATGTTCATTTAGTGAATGTCTTGACTGAGTTCAATGATAAACATTTCGAGCTAAAACTAAGCAGAGCTAAGCAATTTCATTGGTCGATGCTTTGGGACAAGATAACTTTTATTACATCTGATAGAGAGTGATGAAACTTAGTGTATAGTTGATAATCAGTTTGATTGCTTGATACTTTTGAAAAAAAATAAATGTGCTATTAATATGTGTCATCTATTTATTTTGGGATTTCGGCAGGTGACATCAGCGTCATTGTTGGCTTGTTTGATTTTAAAAAACGTTCAAATATATCAGTCTTACACCATACATATGGTTGAGTTTGAAATTTCATGGAAATCAGACTGATACTGTCTGACAAAATGGCAGCTCCTCTTTACACAAATAATATAATAAGCATGTAATAGAGGTCATAATTTTTATCCGATTTTGTGGAACTTAAAATATATGTTTATATCCCAAAAACAAAGTCATGGGTATCACAAAGATGGTTTTGTGATACCCATGACTTTGTTTTTAACCACTCCTACTACTGGTGTCACCGTATCAAGTTTATTATGACTTGGATCTCATCTAAGTTTATGTTATTCAAATGTTTTTGGAATCCTCTCTCTTTATATTTATTTGGATTCACTTGAAAATGTGGTCGTATATTGTTGTCATCCCAGTCCGTCTGTCCGGCGGTCTCTAGAGGCTAAAGTTAATATCCGATTGACTTTAAATTTATACACAGTGTTAGGTCATAAGACGAAGAAACCCAATGATTTTCAACGATTTCTAATAATTACTGCCAGAGTTATGGCCCTTGATCACTTTGAAAAATCTTGAGGACACTTTACTCTGGAAAACTGGTATCGTTTATAATGGGGGTTATAGTGCTAAAAACTAGGTATATTGTTTAATTTCAAAACATCGTTTGATAATTGATAATAGACGTTTGAAAATTACAAAAATGGTTTAATTAGTACTATGGCTTAATTTAATGGTACAGCGTTTAATTTCTCTGAGAGGGGTTTAAAAATGGCCGACCATTACTTATCTAGTGCGTTTATTTATTAGACGAGTAGTTCAATTTCCCCCGAGATGCGTATAGAAATAAGACCTGCTTAATTTATCTACTGTGTTGAATTATTAGATGAATCGTTTATTTTTCCACGAGCCGTCTATCCAATCGGTTCATTTTGGTTACGATTATTTGCATATGAAGTGCGAATAATAATGGTGAATATTAAAAAAGGCACCTTACCGTGGTCGTAGTATTATTATCCATTCAAAATAGTAATTCCGCCATTGACAAATATATCAAAAATTGGTAAATCACTTCCCAGGTAATTATACATTTGGAAATCAGTAAATCACATCCCAGATAATGCAGTACAGGTCTGGCGGAAGTACTAAATTTCCCCGAAGTCGGGCCTAGGCGGAAATGAAAAATCGCGGGTGCCAATTAATCAATCCGCTCTGGCCACGCTCAAAATTCCACTCTAAATTTCCTCCGCAAATATGAGTAAACCACCGACCTCGCGATTATTTTAAACCGACACGGAAATTAGCTTGACAGATCCACAGCGAAATTTAAGAAGTCAGACTTTCCACGCATGTACAGTCAGCACATCCCTAGCTGGTTTGAAATAGGTTTATTTATCGTGCAATTGCACCACAGTCATAACGTAGTCGAATATCAGCTTGTTAATTTAACACGGTTAGACACGCAGATTTTACTGACTTATATTGAAAAATATCAATTATCAAACACTGGCAGGCTTTTAAATAATAAAATAAACAGAGTTATGGCTGTACTGATACATCACTTAGTCAATATGTTCGACATTTCTAAGACTTTCAAACTCATTCAAATTACGAAAATTTCAAAGATTTTATAGATGCTGGTCTTACCGTGGGGGAAAGTTTTGTCCATTAAAATAGCTATTCCCATTCTGACAAATAAGTTACACAATGCATTGTAAATCGGTAAATAACACCTGTAGTAATATATCTTGGGATTTAAATCACAAATGAATTAAATGCTCATCTCCTGTTTTTAAGCACACATTGCCAGAAGTCACTGTCAACCTTGATGAACACATGTACATTAACATGTATCAGTCGGTAAGGCTGGGAATCGATATGAAATTTCAATATCGATTATCGGCAAGAATTTGTCAGCGATTATCGATAATAATCGATTATCATTTTTCCGGAAAAATCCGAACTTTACCGACCTGTTATTTGTGTTGGTCGACACTGGCTACCACTAGTTTGTTGTATTTGTTCTTCAACAGTCATGTTTAATAATAGTATTGTATAATAAAAATATTCCAAAACATCTTCAGTCTTTATTACTGTTTATTTAAACACATTATATTTATTAATATTATACAATCTGTCCATACTCAATCGTAATGCAAAAAAAACAAACAAAAGTAAATTGAAGTTATTTATCTTCATTACTAGAGAGAGTCCATGAGGGTAGATAACTGTTACATTTATTTGGTTACATATCATATGCTTGCGCTTAGCGGACAACGATCTTATCTCACATTGCGAAAATAATGATATTGATATCACTAGCTAATTGCTGGTACTTTTGTAGTTTTTATTAAGAAATATAAGTCTATCTACATTTTCTGGTAACAAACAGTTTCTCGATTTATTAACAATAAAACCAGCCGTGCTAAACACGCGTTCACTCGGAACCGCAGGGACAGATAACAGTTTTTTGGCAAGAACAGATATTCTTGGAAATCGTGCTCCGTTTAATTTGTACCAGTTTAATGACGATTGATTCTTAAGCCTTGGTTCGTTTAAAAAATTGAAAACTTCTTTGGATGCTTCAGTTGATGGAGACATTGACCCAATTTCATTTGCTAACTCATCGTCACCCAAGAGTTATGAAAGCCCCGAATCCTCGTTCTTGGGGCGTTTTGAAACTGTGGGACCATCGTCGGCATCTCCTGTTTCTGTTGTTACCGGAGCACATGAATTGGGCGTGTCCTTTATTAGATCGCGTACTAATTTTTTCAAAAGATCTTTGCCGTCTTCAATTTCATGTGATTCTGCAAATCCCATATTGCGATATTTTAAATCCAGCAATGATGCAACAACAAATATTCGTCGCAGTTCTGGCCGCTGGTAACGTGTATTCAAATTGTCAAGCATACTTTGTTTGATGGTTTTGATGCTTATACTGTCTTCATCGCATGGCTGGAGATGTATTTTAAGTTTCGTTAGGATTGGCAAGATCAAGGATATACTAGGATTGGTAGCTGATGACACCATTAAAGTGGCCTCCTTCATTACTCCTAGAAGTTTAATTAGATCTTCCGCCAAAGAGTACTCGGTTCCTTCCAAGACAAGATTGCGACAATCCTTCTTTAAAGATGGGTCATTGAGTGAAGCATGAACAGCCACAGTTTGCTCACATATGCGTTTGAGCATATCAAAAGTGCTATTCCAACGAGTTTCGACGTCGATTATGAGTCCATGTTCGGGAAGGTTTAACATCTTCTGTTTTTCATGTAAAATATTTGTTGCTAAGGGACTTCTTTTAAAGTAAGCAATTAGTTGACGACAGCGAGTTAAAACTACATTAACTTGTTTACAACTTTTTAGACCACTCTTAACGGCTAGATTAAGTGTATGTGCCATACATGGTGCATGTTTAAACTGACTTAAGCTTTCTTCTGACGAGTCTGTATGTAGGCCTAATAGATTTACAGCTTTCACAATATTTGCGGCATTATCCGTCACAATAAAACTAGGTTCTATATCCCATTCACGGAAACAAACTTTCAAAGCTTCGTTTAAATGTTCTGCCGTGTGAGAACCGGGTAGTTCCCTTGTTTGGAGGACATTTGAAAGTCATCTGTCATAAATTGGACCGTGACAGTTACATAGGTATGTGTGGAAATAGATGTCCATCCATCAGTGGTTATTGATGTGCTTGTGGCATTTGACATTTCGCATTTTATCCTTTCCTTTGTGCTGTCGTACATGCGTGGCAATATTTTATCTGAAAACACCTTTCGGCTTGGAACTTCGTATCGAGGTTCTGCGATATGAAGAATTTTCTTGAATGAGACTGAATCTACCATACTCAACAGACGTAAATCAGTAAATAAATGTTCGGCAATTGCATTTGTTAAATTTATTGCCCTTGGGGAATTATTTCCTAATTTGGTTGTAAATTGCTGTATAGTACGTTGTTGGGCTGTACCACTACTATTACTACCAATGCTACTTGAACTTGACCAGGATAATTTATCTGGGTGACTGGTGTTTATGTGGTTTTTTAAATTTGTAGTGTTGCCGACGTACTTTATTTTTGTGAAGCAGAGTTTACACACAGCATACGATTTGTCAATATTACGGTCGTCGGTTCCGTAAAAACCAAAACAATTCCATACCTCGCTTTTTGCCTTTCCTGGGAAGTCAAAAATGTGTTTTGTATTGGCTGTATCTGACATGATATATAATAAAAGTAGCTGAGTTGATCATTAATATTTGATCGTGAAAGCAGACGATTTCTCTACAAATAAATCAATCAAGAGCAAAGAAGGGAGATAATTCTAATTTTACTATATATCATGTGCGATTGTCATTGTTCACAAAGTGCGTGACCTATTTTAGTTTCAACTAGTAATAACAACAAAAACAACGAAAATATTAAAATAATGTATTTAATCTTAAAGTCTAGTTTTTTACAATAATATATATTTAAAATGTGCCAGTTTGTAAGCAGAGGGGGAAAATAGTTGTGTTGACATGTATTCATTCATTCGTCTGATAATGCCAGACTACGGCAAGTTCAGAGTTAGTATCTGATACACAGTGTTTAAGGTCTTGAGACGAAGAACCCTATTGATTTTCAGCGATTTCCGATAATTATTGCCAGAGTTATGGCCCTTGATCACTTTGAAAAATCTTGTGGACGCTCTAGAGGTCAAAGTTAATATCCGATTGACTTTAAATTTATACACAGTGTTTAAGGTCATAGGATGAAGAAGCCTATTGATTTTCAACGATTTTCGATAATTACTGCCAGAGTTATGGCCCTTGATCACTTTGAAAAATCTGGTGGACGCTCTAGAGGCTAAAGTTAATATCCGATTGACTTTAAATTTATACTGCCCGGACAATTTAGCTGTTGTGGGCGTATGTTTCGTTGCCTGGCAACTTATCTTTGCCAGAGTTATGACCCTTGATCACTTTGAAAAATCTTGTGGACGCTCTAGAGGCTAAAGTTAATATCCAATTGACTTTAAATTGATACACAGTGTTTAAGGTCATGAGACGAAGAATCCTATTGTTTTTCGACGATTTCCGATAATTTTTGCCAGAATTATGGCCCTTGATCACGTTGAAAAATCTTGTGGACGCTCTAGAGGCTAAAGTTAATATCCGATTGACTTTAGATTGATACACAGAGTTTATCATATTGATTTTCAATGAATCTTTATGACTTGAACAGCTAAAGTTTCGTATAATAAACGTTAGCATGGGGCAGAACAAATTCTAATGAGTTGTTACTCTTAATTAGATTTGAATGTATTATAAATGTTTCATTACCGAAAAAAGTAAAACTCTTGTTGACTGCCCGGACGATATAGCTGCTGTGGGCGTATGTTTTGTTGCCTTGCAACCTATCTTTAACAAATATATTACTATACGAGAAACGATGATTAACAAAGAACCGTAAGTGCATGTTTCATGTTAATAAATATTTTCTTTCGTCTCACGAGATTATCTGTGTGCATTTGTACATCGCGAGGTTGACTTCTGGTGACGTGTACAGTTAGAAGACTAAATTAATTCATTTGTGATTTAAAGAAGATACATTACCTGGGATGAGATTTACTGATTTCCAAATGTATAATTACCTGGGACGTGATTTACCGATTTTTTGATATATTTGTCAATGGCGGAATTACTATTTTGAATGGATAATAATAATGGATAATAATACTACGACCACGGTAAGGTGCTTTTTTTTAACATTCATCATTTTTATTAGCACTTCATATGCAAATAATCGTAATCAAAATGAACCGATCGGATAGATGGCTCGCGGGAAAATAAACGATTCATCTAATAATTCAACACAGTAGATAAATTAAGCAGGTCTTATTTCTATACGCATCTCAGGAAATTGAACTACTCGTCTAATAAATAAACGCACTAGATAAGTGAACGGTCGGCCATTTCTAAACCCCTCTCGGAGAAATTATAAACGCTGTACCATTAAACTAAGCCACAGTACTAATTAAACTATTTTTGTAATTTTCAAACGATTATTATCAGTTATCAAACGATGTTTTGAAATTAAACTATATACCTAGTTTTTAGCGCTATAACCCCCATTATAAACGATACCAGTTTCACAGTATTAGAGGCTAAAGTTAATATCCGTTCGACTTTATATTTATACAGTGTTTAAGGTCATCAGATGAATTTTCAAAGATTTCCAATGATTATGGCAATTGATATTAAATGTTTTGTATGCTAAATGTTAGAATAGGGCAGAAATATATACTAAACAGCAAAAAAACGTCAATACGATTTCAAAATCAGAGAGGCACTTTAATCAAATCATTCTAGAAAACGACTTACTAAATGGATCAAAGCAATTTTTTGTGAACAGTATGTTGACACATTAGGGATTAATTCATCACAATTCCAAGACATTACGAGAAGGTTTAGAGTCTGTACACAGTCTATACATCAGTATGTGGTGTGTCCATCTCGAGTGTCAATAACAGCAGCGCAGCGTCTGTACATGGAGTGGAACAGGGGATGGATGAACACCACTGCCACCTGGAACCACACTCTCAGAAAAGCCAGGCGCAATCCATCGGCTGTGTTTGGTCCGACATTATTAAGTTTCCTCTGAATTTCATCCCAGAGATGTTCAATCGGGTTTAAGTCCAGACTAAGGGCTGGCCAGTGCATAATGTTGACACCATTCTGCTGTAGAAAGTCCCGAGTAACTCTGGCGGTATGGGCACGGGCGTTGTCATGCTGGAAAACGTTTCGATGACGTACGAAATGTTGTGGGTTCTGAGAGCTTGATTGATGTAGCACACTGCTGTGATGCCGCCTCCTCTCCCTGGACCAAGATTTTGGAACCCTATAGGACCCACTCTCTGGTTCAGGCCAATTCCACCCCAAACCATTATGCTTGACCCTCCCCATGGTCTCGTTCCATGACACATTGGTCAGAATAATGCTTGCCATGTCGACGCCATATTCTGGTCCTGCCATCTGCAGTTGATACGCAAGGGATTCTGCACGTTCTGTTTCTTTTGCTGCTTAGAATAGAAGCCAAATGGGTTGTTACTCGTAAGCAGATTTTAGTGTGTTGTAAATGTTTTCATTTCTGACAAAAGGAAAAATATGCGACAACCTTTGTTGACTCCCCGGACGGCTTGGCTGCTGTGGGCGTATGTTTCGTTGCCTTGCAGTCTATCTTTTAGCTTCTTCTCTGTCCATATCAGGTTGTATTACTATGTCAGATGTAAACAACGCACGTGTGATGTTACATATGATGAGACAGCACACGTAGAACTATACTGGGTGTTACCTTAAAGGCTTTTTACATTACCACTGAAATAGATGGGGACCGCTCAGCAGTTTAACTTTTTTTTATAGGATAAAGATGCAAGATTAAAAAGATTAAAGAGAGAAATATTAGAAGAACAAGAAGAAGAAGAGAGAAAATTGAGACAAGATAAAGAAGAAAGTGTGCAGTATGTTCTTTATGTGGTATTGCTAAACCTAGTGTATATATTTCATCAAATTTTTATTGATTACCATAGTAAATTACTATTATCAAACCTGTATTTGAGTCAGTATAGACAAAAGTTTGTTTGCTATTGGAACTCCTCAAATGAGAAGAGATATCAGGTGTTCTAGAAAGGTTGAGCATACATTATAACATGGTTATTGGTATGTGGGATAATTAAGTGATTGTCTATACAGATTTAAACAGTGCAATATTTTTTTTTTTTTTTCAATGATCTTTAAAACATAAAAGAAGGTTTTATGCACTTCTTTTAGAATTCTTTATAATTAGAGACTATATTTTTTGTGGAATTTATATATTATTAATGTTAGTACCAGTAGCTTTAAAAGTAATTCTCTTTGTAAAACTTCATTCTGTAGAGTGCACTGCATGGAGTAGATTTTAAATCATTTATCAATTATTATTCTGCCATCTTTGTAAATATATTTTCAAGTGATTTAAAGGATTTGCCACAAGGAAATAGATCTACACATATACCACAGTGGGATATGTTTTTGGAAGTTTTCCAGAGAAATAAACATGTCCCTTTTATGAAGGACCAGCATGGTTTGAACTGGGATTTTGGCTGAAAGCGTGTCAGTTTGTGCATATGCTTTTACGCACAGTTTTCATTCTTAACAGTTCGCTCTTGTTACGATTTAAATGAAAATTACATATATAAAGTATGTACAACTTGATCTGTGCTTCTGTTCAACTAATAAGATACAAGAATCAAGTTTGCCTATTGAGATATATTTACAAAGATAAAATTATAAAAGTGCACAATATTGATATTATAATATTGATATCAATCTTGCCTCCCTTCCTTTTCCTTGTACCAGAAATCTACAGGCTAGTTTAAAAGGATATATGAAAAAAAGCCAGGCTAATCTACAATATGATGGACAGACAGATTTAGCTAAAATAAAGGAGGAATGTCAACAACAACAGAAAGAAGAAGAAATGAAGCTGCGGTAAATTTCACTGGCCTGGTTTTGATTGGTGGCACTGTTCGATTAAAGTTATTATATGTGATCCTCACTGAGTTCTTCTAATCAATTTATTTAATCACTCACTTTACTTTTTGTACACCTATATGTTAATGTGGTCATATAGTGTAGTCTCCCCTGTCTGTTGATCTGTACAACTTCTCCACACTAACCATCATAGTTTTTGTCAGGTAGTGGCTTATTCCACTATTCATAGACATGAACAGTATCGTTCATCAATTATTTGCAGAATCCATGCCTCTGTCATCGAAACCTTGTAATCACTCTACAGTTTTTATACGCCCACATTTTCATGTGGACGTATATTGTCGTCGCCCCTGTCCGTCCGTTCACAATTGTTTGTGAACAGTCTACAGGTCACAACTTTTAACCGATTACAATGAATCCTGAAATATAGGTTTATCACCCTAAGATCTCGGTTCCTTTCGATATTGGCATGTATCGGACTGTAACTTCATGGATTATGGCCCCTAATTGTACGAAAAATCACGTTTTTAGCTTGTGAACACTGTAGAGGTCACAATTTTTATCCGATTTAGTTTAAACTTGAAATGTATTCTTATAACCCAAAGATCTTGGTTCCTTTCGATGTTCGCGCATATCGGAACGTTACTTCCTGAATTATGGCCCCTGATTGTACGAAAAATCTTGTTTTTAGCTTTTGGACCCTATAGAGGTCATAATTTTTATCCGATTTCAAAAAAACGTATTATTATATCACTGTTACACCCTAAAGACGGCTGAGTTCGAATTTCGTGAAAATCGGCCCAAAACTGACAGACAAAATGGCCGCCGTACGTTCTCAATAGCGTAAAAATATGGTATATCAAGGTTGTGGACCCTATAGAGGTCACAATTTTAATCCTATTTTGATGAAACTTTATAACCCATATCGGAACGTAACTTCCTGAATTATGGCCCCTGATTGTACGAAAAATCGCGTTTTTAGCTTGTGGACCCTATAGAGGTCATAATTTTTATCCGATTTAAAAAAACGTATTATTATATCACCTAAAGACGGCTGAGTTCGAATTTCGTGAAAATCTGATCAAAATTGACAGACAAAATGGCCGCCGTTCGTTCTCAAATAGCGTAAAAATATGGTATATCAAGGTTGTGGACCCTATAGAGGTCACAATTTTTATCCGATTTTGTTGAAACTTGAATGTAAGTTTATAACCCAAAGATCTCGGTTTCTTTCGATATTCGAGCATATCGGATTGTAACTTCCTGAATTATGGCCCCTGATTGTACGAAAAATCGTGGTTTTAGCTTGTGGACCCTATAGAGGTCATAATTTTTATCTGTTTTAAAAAATCGTATTATTATATCACCGTTACACCCTAAAAATGGCTGAGTTCGAATTCCATGAAAATCGGCCCAAAAAATGGCCGCCCTTCGTTCTCAAATAGCGTAAAAATATAGTATATCAAGGTTGTGGACCCTATAGAGGTCACAATTTTTATCCGATTTTCTTGAAACTTGAAATGTAAGTTATAATTTCGTGAAAATCGTCCCAAAATTGACAGACAAAATGGCCGCCGTTCGTTCTCAAATAGCGTAAAAATATGTTATATCAAGGTTGTGGACCCGATAGAGGTCACAATTGTTATCCGATTTTCTTGAAACTTGAAATGTAAGTTTATAACCCAAAGATCTCGGTTCCTTTCGATATTTGCGCATATCGAATTGTAATTTCCTCAATTATGGCCCATGATTGTAGGAAAAATCACTTTCTTTTTAGCTTGTTCTCTATCCATCTCTCGAAAATGGCCGCCCTTCGTTCTCAAATAGCGTAAAAATATAGTATATCAAGGTTGTGGACCCTATAGAGGTCACAATTTTTATCCGATTTTCTTGAAACTTGAAATGTAAGTTCCAATTTCGTGAAAATCGGCCCAAAATTGACAGACAAAATGGCCGCCGTTCGTTCTCAAATAGCGTAAAAATATGGTATATCAAGGTTGTGGACCCTATAGAGGTCACAATTTTTATCCGATTTAATTATGTCCCCTGATTGTACGAAAAATCGCGTTTTTAGCTTGTGGACCCTATAGAGGTCATAATTTTTATCCGATTTAAAAAAACGTATTATTATATCACCGTTACACCCTAAGGACGGCTGAGTTCGAATTTCGTGAAAATCGGCCCAAAACTGACAGACAAAATGGCAACCCTTCGTTCTCAAATAGCGTAAAAATATGGTATATCAAGGTTGTGGACCCTATAGAGGTCACAATTTTTATCCGATTTTGTTGAAACTTGAAATGTAAGTTTATAACCCAAAGATCTCGGTTTCTTTCGATATTCGCGCATATCGGACCGTAACTTCCTGAATTATGGCCCCAGATTGTACGAAAAAATACTTTCTTTTTAGCTTGTTCTCTATCCATTTTTTCGAAAATGTGAATTTCGAAACAGCTAGGATGACTAAGCTGCTAGTTAGCATATGTTTCATTGCTTGGCAACTTAATTCAAATCTATTTTTCTATTCTTTCTTTTATTAAAATTTTAAAAAATGAAAGTATTTATAAATACCTGTATTAGTAGAAGTCTTCTCATCAGGATTTTAAAGATAAAAAATCATTGATATTTAATCATGAAATTCTTGTACTTTACTGGTATGTGTTAATTTGGCAATAAATGCATTTTATTATAAATATCATGATACATTTAGAGAGATATGTTGATTTGTGTGGTTAAACTATTTATAGATACTTTCACTTACAGTTTGCTTCATTTCTCATGTCTTCAGTCTTGATAATTTGAATGTAATTCCAATCAATGTACAATTACCGATTTCACATTTTATTTAATGAATATTATGTTGTTTCTGTATTTGATATTTTTTTGCTATAATATTTTGTTTATGATGGCTTCAGACACTGTAACATTGGTACCGTTTAATCTAGCGTAAATAGCGTTAATTTCTACTCTGTGTCCAATTATTCATAAATATTGTTGAATTTCGGCAAATAGTGCTCAATTTGTACTTCTATAGAATTTCAATCTCACTGTTTAATTTTGATTACCGAGCGTGTAATTAACTAGTGTTTAGTTTCTCGACACGTGTTGAATTATAAGAGTCCCGTCTAATTAGCACGACTGTTCAATAATTAGTTGGACCAGTTTTGCCGCCGAATGTCTATTTTGCCTCACGATGTTGAAATACTGTAATAAGTGTTAGTTTTAGTACTGATCTGTTGCGATACGATGAAATATTATTTTTCAGGATTCATACGACGGCAGGTATCTGTAATGCTTGTCATTATCCGGAGATTATTTTTCAAGATCACTTCGGGAAACAGTATTTCAACATCGTGAGGCAAAATAGACATTCGGCAGCAAAACTGAACGATCACCAACAACTAAACACATCGTAATATCTGAACATCGCACGTGAAATTAGATGTTTGACAACAAAATTGAACACCTTGCGTAATTGGACACCTTGACAGATTTTAATCACGGCTCGGGAAATTGAACAGTCCAACTAATTATTGAACAGTCGTGCTAATTAGACGGGACGCTTATAATTCAACATGTGTCGAGAAACTAAACACTGGTTAATTAGACGCTTGGTAAATCAAAATTAAACAGTGAGATTGAAATTCGATAGAAGTACAAATTGAGCACTCTTCGCCGAAATTCAACAATATTTATGAATAATTGGACACAGAGTAGAAATTAACGCTATTTACGCTAGATTAAACTTTACCAATGTTACAGTGAGAACTTCTTACATGTACTATCATCATAACTTTACGTACTTTACTCTTCAAAAAAAAGTAGGGGATATTCAGAAAAAATACAAAACTGTGGAAATGCACTGCTGTTTTTATTAGAGGTAACCAGTGTATGTTAATAACAGGCCAATTGCCTACACATACACATAAACAGTTCATATGGGCGGGTTATCTGATGGACCCATTTCACTCGCAAAGAGATACACTGTCAAAAGTGAAGATGGACGTTTTTGATTTTTGTCTAAATGAGTAATTGCTCCACCAAACCTTAGACATTCAGCAATTCATCGTGGCATGCTCCTAATCAACCGTCCAATCACGATTTGGGGCAATCTGACCCACTCCTCTTGCAGTGCCACGGCCAATTCTTGCAGTGTTGTGGCTCTAGGACGACTTGAACAAGGTCTATTATCAACATTGTGTGTTTGTTGGTACCGGTTCCACAGTCTGCTGATCAGAGGCTGTGACACATTAATCATGTTGGCTACTGCTCGCTGTGTAGAACTCATTTGAAGCATGCCAATAGCACATAGATATTCATCATGTTGAAGACGTCTCATTGCAAATTAAATGTAACACACTAAAGCAAAGATACGCTAAACAGTAAATCTTATGCAAGAACTGATAGGAAAGCAAACATGGATAGGATAAACCAGCACGCGGCAGTTTTCATCAACCCTTCCTTGAAGTGTCAAATTTGACAATGAACCCCTATTGCGTGTCGTAGTGCAGCTCAGTGGTTCTGTTGGGGCGATAAGTTCTTCATCTGTGAACATACTCTCAAAGCATGTGATGTGTCCATGACTATTTATCATATCACAACCTGCATAGGTATTTGCATTTCAATATCCCCTACTTTTTTTATACGCCCACATTGAAATGTGGCCGTATATTGTTGTCGTCCTGGTCCGTCAATTCGGCCGGCCGTCCGGCGGTCCGGCGTCCACAATTGCTTGTGGATGTTCTATAGGCTAAAGTTAATATCCGATTGACTTTAAATTTATGCACAGTGTTTAAGGTCATGAGACAAAGAATCCTATTGATTTCCGATAAATTTTGCCAGAGATAAGGCCCTTGATCACTTTGAAAAATCTTGTGGACGCTCTAGAGGCTAAAGTTAATATCCGATTGACTTTAAATTTATACACAGTATTTAAGGTCATTAGACGAAGAAGCCTATTGATTTTCAGCATTTTCCAATAATTGCTGCCAGAGTTATGGCCCTTGATCACTTTGAAAAATCTTGTGGACGCTCTAGAGGCTAAAGTTAATATCTGATTGACTTTAAATTGATACACAGTGTTCAAGGTCGAGACGAAGAAGCCTATTGATTTTCAGCGATTTCCGATAATTACTCCCAGAGTTATGGCCCTTGATCACTTTGAAAAACCTTGTGGACGCTCTAGAGGCTAAAGTTAATATCCGATTGTCTTGAGACGAACAAATATATTGATTTTCAATGAATCTTTATGACTTGAACAGCTAAATCCATGATGTTAAAAGTTTCGTATACTAAACGTTAACATGGGGCAGAACTTTATAAAAACCAATTAAATTCTAATGGTTTTCTGATAATTACCTAATGAGCTGTTACTCTTAATCAGATTTTAATGTATACTGAGCGCCATGGAAAATGCATCACTTAGTTTTTTGTATAACAAAATGATCAAGTAAACATATCTTATTTATTTTGCTTCTTATTGTGAACAATATTCAAATGGGAACACATCAATAACAACACATTTGTACACTTATGGTTGTTTAATCTGTAATCAACGGTACAAAGTCAGAGGGGTCAAAACCAAAAGTATGACACAGATGTCAGTAGCGCGTGTGTCCTCCACAGGCTCTTGTGCACGTTGTGCAGCGACGTCGCATGGAATTTACCAATGTTTGAAAGAAGGCCTGGGGCAAATTGTTCCATTCTTGGACAAGAGCAGCTTCTAAAGCAGCAATGGTGTGCATCTGTGGTCTCTGATACAGACGGCCCAATCTCATCCCAGACATGTTCTATCGGTGCCATGTCCGGAGACATGGCTGGCCAGTCCAAGACATTGAGGTTGTTAGCAGCCAGGTAGTCCATACTAAAATGGGCGGTATGCGGACGTGCATTATCCTGTTGGAAGTGCTGAAGTTGTGGGTGCGCTCGAAACATCGGAACAACAATTGGTTGCAAGACATCATCACGGTAGGCTACAGCATTAACGCGACCCCTGCAAATGTGTAGGGCGGTCCGGTGATGAAATGGAAGCCTCCCCACACCATTACACTTCCCCCACCCCATCGATTCATTTCGAAGACGCAGCAGTCTGCAAGACGTTCCCCAAGACGTCTCCACACACGTTGACGGCCATCAGCGTGATAAAGATGAAAGCGACTCTCATCACTGAAGAGCACACTTTGCAGTCTACTCTTCTCCATGTCTGGTGTCCTGGAGCCCATATCAAACGCCGCTGACGGTGATGATCCCTGAGGATAGCTCCAACATAAGGTCGTCGTGCACGGCGTCTTACGGTGTTGGCACTTACTGGTCCTTGTCTTCCGACGACTGCTGCACCTGTTCGAGTCTCTGGGCGGAATCTGTCACGCAGATGAGTGACCCGAATGTAGCGGTCTTGAACCTGGTTTGTAACGCGTTGTGGAAAAGGACGTTGACAGTCACGTGTTGATCCAGTAACTTGAACACGTTCCACCAACCTTACAATAGTGGACTGATGACAATTGAAGTGTCTGGGCGGAATCTGTCACGCAGATGAGTGACCCGAATGTAGCGGTCTTGAACCTGGTTTGTAACGCGTTGTGGAAAAGGACGTTGACAGTCACGTGTTGATCCAGTAACTTGAACACGTTCCACCAACCTTACAATAGTGGACTGATGACAATTGAAGTGTCTGGGCGGAATCTGTCACGCAGATGAGTGACCCGAATGTAGCGGTCTTGAACCTGGTTTGTAACGCGTTGTGGAAAAGGACGTTGACAGTCACGTGTTGATCCAGTAACTCGAACACGTTCCACCAACCTTACAATAGTGGACTGATGACAATTGAAGTGTCTGGCAATAGCACGTGTAGACATGCCAGCCCTGGACATTCCCATGGCTTCATTCCGTTGATTTTCAGTAATTCTCGGCATCTCTAGCTCAATTCCTTCAAACGTCCAACAACAAATTACGACAGATTGACGTTTCACAGTTCATGTACTGCACATTAAGTTGAAAACATGCTTTTAAAGGGCTCACACACAATGCTGCACGTGAATATTGGGGTTTTCATGTGCATCTCGTGCAATTTTTTTTTTTGCACACAGGCCGATATTTTTTGCGTTTGGGAGCATTGTGTGAAACAATAGTTCATAGTATTGCATAATATTATACATACAAAACCACCTAGTAATAAAATATTTGGGAAAAAAAAGTGATGCGTTTTCCATGGCGCTCAGTATATTATAAATGTTTCATTACTGAAAAAAGTAAAAATATGCGACAACTCTTGTTGACTGCCCGGACGATATAGCTGCTGTGGGCATATGTTTTGTTACCTGGCAACCTGTTTTTGAAGAGTATATTATTTGATATCTACTTCCACCATAACCATCAATAAAATAAATTGATATGAAAGTCCTAGGTAAAGCATGGCTCACCTGCAAAATGTTTACTTGTAGATGATTACTATTATTATTATAAATATATGTTCATATGTAAACTAACCAGTCTCAAATACACTTATAGAATACTATTAATAGATTAACATGGTAATTACTTGAATCAACTTTTAGATGATGCATCTGTTGAAATATCAGATGTGTTTGTGACATCACTGGCATAACCAGAACTGGCAATTGTCAATTGGAAATATGAATAAGCAAATTTGACTGATTTACTAAAATCGTCTACATTTTTTAGCTGATGGGTGCCAAATTGAAATATCCGTGGTAGCACAGATGATACCACTAATATATTATTTAATTATGGGTGAACATAGACCGGGCACCTAGAATTCTTCTAAAAGTTGCCACGAGTAATTGTCTTCATTAGTGTCAATTGTTAAAATATAGAAATAAGTCTTGTGTTTTAGATTTGTTTTAGATTTGAAATCACAAATGTATCTGATATTTCTCAAATATATTTGATATACCTTTAATATAAACTTATTTGCTAAACATATTAAATATGTGAAGTAAAAAAAGTTGTTGATGATATTTTGTAGAGATCAAATGGAAAGAGCTTTAGCTAGATTAAGAGAAGAGGTTGCATCATTACATAAAGAAGAACAAGCTAAATTAGAAGAAGAGAAATCAAAAGCTTTAGACAAACTTCATACACAGGTAACTCATCCTAAAATGGCCTCCTCTATTTACATTTAAAAGGTTTCGTGTAGGTATTTGATTTTAAATTTGACGAGAAAGAAACTAAAGAGAAGATACAGATTTGTTTGGGATGGGATTTCAAAATTTTTCTTGTCGGACATTTTTTCTTGAAAATAAAGGGGCATAACTCTTATTTTTATTTAAGCAGGCGTTTTCAGACCACAATTAAAAATCATGTGGCGACAAAATATTCAAATTCATACGTAATAAAAAATAGGTGCACCTGGTTATTTTTCATATTTAATTCCTGTTTGGTATTCAAATTTATATCAGTAATATTCCTACAAAATTATGTGTTGTCGCAATAGGATAGAACAAAAGTGTGCAGTTCCATACCTGTTTCAAATTCCTCCAAAATAACCGTATTTTCGGGGTATAAGTTGATACATTTTTCAGCATTCGTCTTATACTCCGTTTCGACTTTCATACGGAAGTTTAAAAAAATGACATCCCGAAATTTATTTGGCAGTAACTGTCTACCACAATGAGCGAGTGACATCTGCTAAATAATGGCAATCAACTAGTCTAAAACAATTAACTAGTTACATTATTCCAATTGAAATATTGATCAACATTTCTTAGCATGTTCATTTCAAAACATTAACCCTATTCAAAATATGATCATAAATCCGAGAATATTCCATCAAAATAGAATTTTTAGACATGTGAGATTCGGCCTGTTTACATTTCACGTGTCTCGCAAGATTTCTACTTTTTCATTTCAGTTATTGTACTCTTAATTTTACGTTTACATCTCATTTCACGTGTCTCGCAAGATTTTTACTTTTTCATTTCAGTAATTGTACTCTTAATTTCATGTGTCTCGCGAGATTTCTAGTTTCATTTCAGTAATTGTACTATTATCGCCACGTGCGATCAGAAACGGTCTAGTATTTATCGGATATGCATGTGTGTGAAATAGCTTTATTTAACTTCGGCTTCCACCGAAGAAATATCACAGACAAGTTATCAGATACAATGTATATTGATTTGGGGCGTTATATAGTATTAGGATATGTGACATATATTACTAATTCCTATGTTGTAGGCCGACATCAAGGTGATTGAAATGTTTGAGAATGGAGAAATCATGGGTTAATCACGTAGATTAAGTTTATAATCACTCTTATTGGATTGATATTTAGTCCGACAAAGGAGAAGCAATGACTTCTGTTCAGGATTAGATTGATGAATTGTCCGACAAAGGATTAAGTCAGCCAATCAAGGCAGATTAAGTAGTTACTCAAGATAGGTGTATAGACGGTATAACACGATAAATACGTTGATCACTTAATTAACCTAATCAATCCAGACTATTATCAACGATAATCGGGTTGAGTGGTAGTTATACCTTCAGTACACTATATTAATTTTGGAATTTTGAATATTATTCACCATGTCTTGATGTCCAATTGGGCATATATTCCTGGTCAGACATTTTAGGACACCTGGAAAATAGCATCGGACTTGTACGAAATATATGAGCGAAATCCCATCACTGATCATACATGACCTAACACAAAATTAACAACTCATTCAGACTGCCATGAGGCATCAATATTAATTAATTAGATTGTAAATAATGTTCATTGTTATACGCCCACATTGAAATGTAGTCGTATATTGTTGTTGCCCCCCCCCCTCCGTCCGTCGGTCCGGATTGTGGACGCTGTAGAGCCTAAAGTTAATATCCGATTGACTTTAAATTTATACAGTGTTTAAGGTCACGAGACGGAGAAGCCTATTGATTTTCAGCGATTTCTGATAATTACTGCCAGAGTTATGGACCTTGATCACTTAAAAAAATCATGTGGACGCTCTAGAGGCTGAAGTTAATATCTGATTGACTTTAAATTTATACACAGTCTTTAAGGTCTACGAAGACGCCTATCGAGTTTCAACGATATCTGATAGTTACTGCCAGTGTTATGGCCCTTGATCACTTTGAAATATCTTGTGGACACTCAACATGCTAAAGTTAATATCCGACTGACTTTAAATTTATACACAGTGTATAAGGTCATTAGATGTAGAAGCCTATTGATTTTAAACGATTTCCGATAATTACTGCCAGAGTTATGGCCCTTGATCACTTTGAAAAATTTTGTGGACGCTCTAGAGGCTAAAGTTAATATCCGATTGACTTTAAATTTATACAGGGTGTTTATGGTCGTGAGACGAAAAAGCCCAATGATTTCCGATAATTACTACCAGAGTTATGGCTTTTGATCACTTTGAAAAATCTTGTGGACGCTCTAGAGGCTAAAATTAATATCCGATTTATTTTAAATTTATTCACAGTGTTTAAGGCCATGAGACGAAGAAGCCTATTGATTTTCAATGATTTATGATAATTACTACCAGAGTTATGGCCTTTGATCACTTTGAAAAATCTTGTGGATGCTCTATAGACCAAAGTTATCATCCAATTGACTTTAGATTGATAAACAGAGTTTAAGGTCTTGAGACGAACAAGTATATTGATTTTGATAACTTGAACAGCTAAATTCATGATATTTAATGTTTCGTATACTAAACGTTAGCATGAGGCAGAACTAGTAAAAGCCAAACAAATTCTAATGATTTTCTGGTAATTCCTTAATGAGTTGTTATTCTTAGTCAGATTTTAGTATATTATAAGTGTTTCATTACCGACAATAGAAAAAATATGCGACAACTCTTGTTGACTGCTCGGACGACTTAGCTGCTGTGAGCGTATGTTTCGTTGCCAGGCAACTTATCTTTTATGTTAATTGTGATGGTCATTAGAATATTTTTGCTATCTACTGAATCAGAGATAAATAAAACAATCCAGTTCTACTTATACCACCTTCATTTTAGTTGATGCATGTTTGAGTGATCTATGAGAATTAATACAAGTGTGAAATAAAAACACCAGAGGCTGTATCTGTCAGCTAACTTAGTAGACCAATGAAATAAATCACATTTTAGTCTTGTTAAGTGTGACAATTGTTAATGAGCTGATGTTGCTCATTGCCATTACTTCAGGAATGTGGTAGCTTATACTCATTGCAGTACTAATGTAATAAAATGATTAATTTTATAATGAGATCAATTAAAATCCTAACTCTAAAAGTAAGTCCAGCACAACTGTACTACACATAGCGAACTTCAAACATAGCAAACCACTGGAAGAAACAAGTCTGGCAATATTAACAAGGTAAGCAATCTGATTAAAACAAAGATCCTATTTCGTTTGTTTTTTTATAGTTCAAAGTTTCGTTTTACTTGCCTTCACTGCATTGGGATCTGGAAGAGTTGTTATATAACCTGCGTTCTGGTTGATGTGAGGTATTAACCAATGAAATTGCATGTTATGGCAAGTTCTTAGCATGCTGTGCACGAAACTGTGGGTAGACATTCTCAACGAAGACAAAGTCAAAGTTGTATTTCCAAATACCCACTTAAAACATTAACGCTGATTGGTTACACAAATGTCTGACGTAATAGGGCCAAAAAACGCCATCAAAAGTATAAAAAAACAACTCGAAATATAGATCTGTATTTTAATTAGATTGCAAGATAAGTCTCTTTAATTAGAAAAAATAATAGAATAACTCTATAAATTGTGAATGATTTGTTCAGAAATATGAATCAAATTGAATAATAGCTTGTGTAATTTTCTTTTAGGTGGACAGAGATATTAGTGGTGAAAAAGAAAAATTAGAAATGGAAACCGAACAAGAGATTAATAAAATACGAAGTAAACATCAGCAAGAATTGGATAATATGAAAGATGAGATGGAAAGAAAACACAGAAATAAAGTAGAAAATCTTAGAATGGAATTATCAGAAAAGCATGAAGAGGTAAAGCTGGGTGTCTTTATTTCACATACATGCTTTGTCCAGAAACAATGTTACAATAGTCATTGTCTTATAGAAAATATATTGCTTTATATTATTATCAGACAATAGAAGACATGAAAAAAGAAATTTTACATTTACAAGTAAAAGAACAAGAACAGCTGGAACATGAACTAGAAGCTACAAGAAAACGACAGAAAGCTATTGATGATCTTGACAGAGGAGTAAGGCTATTTTATTTTTGGACTCTACTGGTTGTATAGTTCTATGCATATAATATAAAGGTTGTGGGTGATTCCATACTCCTGTCTTCATTAGCCCAGTCAGAGCAGAACAGTAGAACGTTAAACCCCATTTCATTTCGATTCCATACTATGTAATGGATAATGTCCTAGGACTGTCCATTATCTGACGATTTTATCATACTTCTAATCTAAATGTCAATAGAAGTAAGATATGAATACAGGCATTTCTTCCAGTGGAGAGGAAATGTATATTACCCAGTCTACAATTGTAGAGTTGTTGATGGGTAGAGTAGATGGGGGCATCCCCTGAAATGTTTTGATTTTTTTAAACAATTTTAATGCAAGTGGCACTTAAACTTTATCCACTGTATATTATTGTTAATGTATTTTGCCATTGATAATGGACAGTTCCAAAAATAATGGACTGTTTCCATTAATAATAGACACTTTTCATTGTTGTTTTGAGACAATCCATTCCTCATTATGATGGATTAAAAGATCAAATGATGACCTCATAGCTATGTTTTAAGTCCTAAGTTTATATTAGTACTCTGTTCTTTTCATGGTACTCTGTTCTTTTCATTGTACTCTGTTCTTTTCATTGTACTCTGTATTATTTGTGACAGTCATCCAATTTATTGAAACAATGGTATTATTTAAGTGTCAAAACCAGTTGATTGATTTTTTAATTATATTTCTGTTTTTTATTTGCAGCTAGAAGAAGTATTAAATGAAAGACGTCAAGAATTAAAACAACAACATCAGAAAGAAACAACACGATTAAAATCAGAACATGAAGATTATATGACTAAATTAAAAGATGATTACAGTGACAAGGTGGTCTAGAATCTTAGAAACATTAATAACATATTTATATATTTATAATAACACAACTTTATGGATTAACCATATTACAATACTCTTACAGGTGTCTTTATCAAGCAATGATCAATAATGATTGTCACTGGGAATCTGGTATCGTTTATAATGCCAATGGGGGTTATAGCGCTAAAAACTAGGTATATAGTTTAATTTCAAAACATCGTTGGATAATTGATAATAATCGTTTGAAAATTACAAAAATGGTTTAATTAGTACTATGCCTTAATTTAATGGTACAGCATTTAATTTCTCCGAGAGGGGTTTAGAAATGGCCGACCGTTCACTTATCTAGTGTGTTTATTTATTAGAGGAGTAGTTCAATTTCCCGAGATGTTGAATTATTAGATGAATCGTTTATTTCCCCGCGAGCCGTCTATCCGATCGGTTCATTTTGGTAACGATTATTTGCATATGAAGTGCGAATAATAATGGTGAATATTAAAAAAGGCACCTTACCGTGGTCGTAGTATTATTATCCATTTAAAATAGTAATTCCGCCATTGACAAATATATCAAAAATCGGTAAATCACGTCCCAGGTAATTATACATTTGGAAATCAGTAAATCACATCCCAGATAATGCAGTACAAGTCACGTGGAATTGCTAAATTTCCCCGAAGTCGGGCCTAGGCGGAAATGAAAAATCGCGGGCGCCAATTAATCAATCCACTCTGGCCACGCTCAAAATTCCACTCTAAATTTCCTCCGCAAATATGAGTAAACCGCCGACCTACACGATTATTTTAAATTGCCGCGGAAATTAGCTTGACAGATCTACCGGGAATTTTAAGAAGTCGGACTTTCCACAAATTTACAGTCAGCACATCCGTAGCAGGTTTGAAATAGGTTTATTTATCGTGCGATTGCACTGCAGTCATATCGTAGTCGAATATCAGCTAACACGGCATGCAAAAAAAGATTGTTAATTTAAAATGGTTAGACATGCAGATTTTACTGACTTATATTGAAAAATATCAATTATCAAACATTGGCAGTTAAATAATAAAATAAACAAGAGTTATGGCTGTATTTTAACAATGCTAATAATAGGTGGAAAAGGTGATTTTGAGATTATGATTATACATTTGATTTTATTAGCTTTTCAAGTAGATCTTATCATTCTTCTCACAAAACTTTTTACAGATTCAAAATCGGATGAAAACTTTTTTTTTATTGAGGCTCAAAGTTGCAATTTTTGACTTTTCGCAGAAGAAAGGTTTTTCAACACTTTGAAAAAGCCATTTTTGGTGTTTTTTGTGATGCCATATTTCTTTTCATATCAAACCTATCAAAAATAAAGATGTAAATTCATGAAGTACAACTTTAAGCCTAATTATGTTTCAATTTTCCCATTTTTGTAATAATTACACTGATTTCCACAGCAACTGCAAAATACATAGGTTTTCTCAAAAATTCCATTTTGTCAGAGCGATTTTGGTCAATTTTTTCATCAAAAATGGTCTTGTGCATGTTATATCTGAAATATTGAACCTGGTTGTTATGTAATTTATAATCAGTAGCTATCAAGTATGATTAACAAAAAGAAAAAGAGTAAAAATATATATATGCCTTCTCTCAAGAGCTGGATATATGTTCATTTTTGAACAATTTTTTGGGGCGTTTTTGGGACATTAATAAAATAAGAAGGAATGGAGACACGCAAGTGAAATTATAGGAATATGAATTACTTATCAATTTTGACCATTTTCAACGCTATTTACCATAACCCATAAGGTCATCACCACATTTTAAATTAAGCAGTTTAAAATATTTGAAACCCATGTAATATCAAAATAAATTCCTGAACGCTGTATTTTAAGTCTTCGGTTTCGCAGAGGCTGAGCCCTTTGCGAGCCAGAGTGTCTGCAGTCTCATTTCCTACTATGCCGACATGAGATGGTATCCATGCAAATTCCACGGTTCTATTTTTGCTTTGGACGAATGTTGTGAACAATTTCTGGTCTTGGTGTTGTTTGGTCGTGTGTTATTGACTCTATACTGCTAAGGGAGTCTAACACGATGACTGCTTTTTGAACGGTACATGACACAAGCCACTCAAGAGCTGTCGATATTGCCTTTAATTCTGCTGTATAGATGGAACATCCATCTGGTAACCTTTTTGATATATTAACATTGAATTTGGGAATGCTGACACCTAATGCAGTTTTGTTTATGGGATACGGTCAAAACCCCCTCCGGTCAGAACACCCTAGGGGGTTTAGACCTAGGTCCCAACCCCCCTAGGTCAAAACCCCCCTAAGTCAGAAACCCCTCTGGCCAAAACCCCCCATTATTATATTATATAATATTAAAATCATTTCAAAATTATGTTTTTGTGGTTTGTGAAGTGAAGTACACAACAAAATCGGTTATTTTTATATTTTATTTGCAATTATATGGGTGAAATTATTTCCATCGGATGGTGTGCCCAATACCTTTTATGGTTTGCACACAAGTTGTAAAGTCTTTCTTGTAGATCATTTGTTGATTTTGGGTGGTTGTCCTCGTGAGTATTGCAGGAGTGCAGTCTTGACATTGCTGTGATCCAGACCGAGATATTCGAGAGCCTGCCAGATTGTGGGGTCTGATATTCCCAGCAGGAAACTGAACACCCTGTTCCAAGACTCGAATAGATTGTTAGTGCGAGACCCCCCACCAAGTGTTGTCAGATGAACGTTCCAGAGTTCTGCTGGGAATAGGGGTGGTATAGGAGATTTTAAATTGTAGTGCCATGACTTCAGATAATTGCATTTCACTTGAATGATTACAATAACTGAGGCTATATTATTCCTAGTAAAAAGCAGATTATGTTATGTTAATTGTGTGGTCAATTGTCTTAGTTGGTCATCATATTTTTTTTTTTAGATATTAATATTTTATTTTTCAAATATCTTTTTTAAATAATAATAAATAAAGGAAATAAATTAATAAAAAAAAAATAAATAAAAAGGGGGTGTTTTGTCCGTTTTTAATTTAAGTCCAAGGGGGTTATGACCTAGGGGGTTTTGACCAAGGGGGTTTTGACCTAGGGGGTTTTGACCGGAGGAGGTTTTGACACGGACCCTTTGTTTATAGTAGGGTCGTGAGATCTGTTCGTGTATATTTTCACATGCGATGGCCATTTTTTGTTCAAGAGCTCCCTCGAGAGCATTTGAGCTTGTTGCGTATTTTCTTTTTTCCTTACAACATTATTTAGACTTGTATTATAGTTTGAATTCAGACAAGTCCAGGGAGCTTGATAAGAAAATACCCTGTCAGTGATTTGATAGTGGTCTAATCCTAGATCTTTTAATAAATCATTTGCTCTGTGACCGAACGGTTGAGTCTCCGATTTCACATTTCTTTTAAATTTCTTCCTTGATGATTTTGTGCACTTGAATGTTGGACAGCTGTCCCCTAGATACTGTAACTTGGCTCAGTATCTTAATGTCACTTCGTTGAACCTCAATTCGAATGACATTTCACCTACTTCCTGCAATAACCTTTCCCTTTTTGTACAAAATTAGGCTTTTGTTGCTATCTTTATGGCTTGGTATTGTAAACTGTCTAATTTAGCAAGAGCTGTTTTATTTGCACTCGCAAAAGCAACACAGCCATAGTCACATGGTAATTGGCTGATTGGGACCCTGGCTGATTGGGACCCTGGCTGATTGGGACCTGGCTGACTGGGACCAGATTTGTGGCTTTCTGGGACCAGATTTGTGGCTGATTGGGACCAGATTCTTGGCTGACTGGGACCAGATTTATGGCTGATTGGGACCACGACAAGGCTCATTCGGACTATTACTTAAATGACGAGAGTATTTAAAATATGTTTGCATATTTTTATACGCCCACATTTTCATGTGGACGTATATTGTCGTCGCCCCTGTCCGTCCACAATTGTTTGTGAACAATCTACAGGTCACAATTTTTATCCGATTTCAATGAAACTTGAAATATAGGTTTATCACCCTAAGAACTCGGTTCATTTCGATATTGGCATGTATCGGACTGCAACTTCATGGATTATGGCCCCTGATTGTACGAAAAATCACGTTTTTAGCTTGGGAACACTGTAGAGGTCACAATTTTTATCCGATTTTGTTGAAACTTGAAATGTATGCTTATAACCCAAATATCTCGGTTCCTTTCGATATTCGTGCATATCGGAACGTAACTTCCTGAATTATGGCCCCTGATTGTACTAAAAATCGTGTTTGTATACGCCCACATTGAAATGTGGACGTATATTGCCGTCGCCCCCGTCCGTTCATCGTCCACAATTTCTTGTTAACGCCAAAAGTTATCATCCAATTGTTTTAAAATTGATATATGTTGTTTACATTAGTGACATGAAGAATCCTATTGAATTTCAATAATTTCCGTTTATAACGTCTAGAGTTAAGGCCCTTGTTTCACTTTGTTGAACCTTGTGAACGCTCTAATGCCAAAAGTTAACATACAATCTTTGTGAAATTTATATGCAATATTTAAGTTAGTGAAACGAAGAAGCCTATTGAATTTCAACAATTTCTGTTTATTACGTCTAGAGTAATGGTCCTTGTTTCACTTTATTGAACCTTCTGAACGCTCCAACGCCAAAAGTTATCATTCGATCTTTGTGAAATTTATATGCATTATTTAGGTTACTGAAACGAAGAAGCCTATTGAATTTCAACAATTTCTGTTTATTACGTCTAGAGTTATGGCCCTTGTTTCACTTAATTGATCCTTGTGAACGCTCTAACGCAAAAAGTTATCACCCGATCTTTGTGAAATTTATATGCATGATTTAAATTAGTGAAACGAAAAAGCATATTGAATTTCAGCAATTTACAATAATTATTTCTAGAGTTATTACCCTTGTTTAAATTTGTTAAACCTTGTTAATGCTTGATTGATGATAGTTATCATCCGATATGTATAAAATTTATATGCATCATTTAAATTTGTGAAACAGGTCTATTGAATTT